AGGTCGGCGGATAGAAATGAGGGAGTACTTTGGATGAAAAGATTAAAGGAGGTAAACTAGCATAGTAACAAAAAGAAGTCTTTATAGTAGTGCTCACAATAAGAATAAAAATAATTACTTCTTGAAACGAGGAAATTAATCTTTAGCATGAAAAGATCTGTAATTCCCTTTGGTTTAGTATATCACGCTTTCTGAAATTAAGGAGTGGTCTTTCAAATCCTTGGAACTGGTTTACTTGGAAAGTTGTTACCTGTTGCTCTTGTACTTTCTGGCATTTGTGTAGATTTTACCATTGCCTTAGACATCAATACAACATCTTAGCTCATCAGAGATTCTGAAATGTAAGCTCAAACAATGGTGCGTTTGAACTGGGATTCTTCAGCCCCAAAAATACAACTAATCGCCAAATAGGAATCTGGTATGTTTCTATCTCCAATATCATCTGGGCAGCTAACGGAAACCAACTAATGAAGGATTCTTCTAGAATTCTTAGAATATCTGAGGACAAGAATCAGCTAGAAGATACTGGCAAGACACTATGGTGGAGTTTAAAACATCTAGGTAATACATTCCTTGCAAATTTGGTAACGAGTACTAACCAAGACAAGTAAGGAATTGAAGTTTACTTCATGGAAGAGCCCCAGTACTCCTGATGTGTTCATCTGGAATCAAACACGGCCATATTGGAGGTCAGCTCCTTCGAATGGTCATGTATTTTGAGTTGGCCAAGATGTATACTGCATATTATCTACATGGATTCAATATAGGAAGGGAAGAAAATGGGTCTGTTCACATGACATATTGTTTGACAAATGAGTCTTTCTATGATGTTTTTTTTTTTTTTTTTTTTTGGGAATTCAGAAGGAAAACTAGTATTAACCACCTGGGTGGACAAACACAAAGCTGAGGTGCGATCAATCCAAGATTCAATCTGACATTTATGGCTTATGTGGTGCATTTGGAAGTTGTGACTCCAGAAATTCCTCTAAAATGCTGATGAATGGAAATGACAAAACTGGACAAGTGGATGTATGAGAAGGGAATCACTACAGTGTAGGTAGATGAAAAATGGGAGTGAAACCACCGAAAGTGATAAGCTTTTAAAACTTGCAAAGACAAAGTGCCAAATTTTGCAGAAGTACAGCATATACATATGATGCTGCAATTGGCTGCATGTCTTGGTAGATAAAATATTTCGTAAAAAAACGATTAATATAATGATATTTCTTGCTGTGTTGAAAGTAGTCATTACAGTGACAGTAGGAGTAATTATTATTGTTGCCGAATATATTGTTTGGTTGCGGACTGCTCGACATTCTGGTGTGTTTTCCATTTCAATATTTAAGTTGTTTGAAGAATATTTATGTTCTGTTTCTCCTAGATAACTGTCTTTTTTCAGTCTTTCCTTTTATATTATGCTTGAATTCAGCTAGAAGGAATGGAAATAATGAACGATGGTGCTGAACAGAGCAGAATTACATTTAACAAACCAAACTGCAGACATGAAAATAACTAAATTAGAGTAACTGCCACTATTTGATTTTGGAATCATTTCAACCGAACAACACAACTTCAACTCTGCTAATAAGCTTGGAAGAGGTGGCTTTATTGGTTTTGCCTTATAGGCAGCTTAATCACGGAAGTTCAAGTTCTTTTCAAATAATATTTATTATGTAATTGATTTTCCATAACATATATACATCCTTATCTTTCCCAATATGAATTTCACAGCATTCTTCTTGCTTCCGAGTCCGCTGGAGTTTGAAAACAAATTATAAAAATCGATTTGATTAATTTTTAAGTCAACAAAAGCTTGCATTTTGTCGAATCAAAACATGTATGTTTTGTCTTTTAATAAACTTTCTCTTGTTTTGGTAGATCGTATCAATAAAGAAGGCCTTAGATAGGAAAAGATTTAAATTATTCATGGGGCTCTAAAGTATAGTAATATTTTGTTGGATGGAGCGCTTAACCAAAGATATTAAATTTTGGCATGGCAAGAATCTTCCGAAGCAGTGAAGATAAAGATAATACTACAAGCGGCGTTGGAACAGAGTGCACATGTCTTCTTTCTTCCTATTGTTGTAATAACACTAAAAATGTTCATATGATTTGATCTCTACCTTTAAGGATTAAATGCAATGGCTACCTATCACTCGAATATGCAATGGAATGACTATCTTTAGATAAATCAGACGCACTTGGCTTCAGAGTTTTGGTATTACAGATAATCAGTGGTAGAAAAGTGACAAGGTTTTGCATCAATGGACACTCTTTGAGCCTAATAGTATGCCACTCAAATTTAACTTTGGTATGATTTTAACGAAGCTGAGTTGATCTATGTTTTTTATGGCACTTTTGATTTTGTTTTGTGGGCATGAAAATTTTGAATGAAGAGGACATCACAACTTTTATTATTCCTGAAATCTCAGAACCAAGTTTTATCAACGACATTAGCAGATATATGCAAATTGGACTTTCATGAGTGCAGGAACCTAAGAGGGACAGGCCTTCTGTGGCTACAGTAATGTCAAAGGCGGCTTGTATTGAGTGCAGAATCATCCCAACAAAGCAACAGATCATGCTCTATCAATACTACCACTGTCACTGACATGCAAGTGAGATCGAAGACAGTGATTTAAAAAAGCAGTAACCGAAATAATAGTAATTCAAATGCTTGGAACAATTTTCTTTCTAGTTATTTGTGTAGGCAGGCAATATTCTACAGCAGCATTTATATGAAATATCTAAAGAAGTACTACCTCCAATCCTTGATATAAGAGCTAATTTGACATTCAATTTAGTTCTAAAAATAAGACTAATTCATTTTATCTCTCATATTTATCTATTTTTTCCAAGGTAATCCTTGTAGTAGTTGCACATATTAAAAGTTCTATCAAATCGTAATTCTAGCTAATATATATGGTTAACAAGGATATTCTAAGGAAAAATAACACCTATTTATTACAAATAACTAACTTAACAAACTTTCCTAATCTACTCAATCAATTTAGTATCAAACATATTTATTCATTAATATTCTTACTTAAACTTGAGCTGCATATATATGAGACTTGAGGTCTAGTATTACCGGTTTATTCCCACAACCTGAAGTTAAAAATGGTTGCTAAGTGTTTGGAATGGAACTTCAACTAACTTTGGGACTGAATTATATTGGTATTTTAAATCCTCCATGAAACTGCAGATAGTGATATTTTGTCTTCGAATCGGATGCATGCATAGCTTGCGCAAATATGTAGGCATCCATATCCATTGCTCATGTCCTTATCATTGAGATGAGATGGAATGTGGACGGCCCAAATTTAATTTGAATAGTCCATATATATATATATATATATATATATATACTGCCTCCTCTGGTTCTTAATATAAGATCCAATTGATTAACCTGGAGATATTAAGAAAATTACTAACTAACTTAATTATAACAAATATATATTCATGGTCTCTCTAAAATACTTATATGTATCATTATGGTATATATTAATTTATAAGTGAAGCAAATTAGTTTGGAGAAAAACAATAAATACAGATATTTTAAAAATAATATAATAACTTTTTTAATTTATTCAAATTAATTAACTGAGTCTTATATTAATAACTGATAGGCACATATACGCTTCATCATGCTTGAAATATCCTCTTCAGAGTTCAACGACTTTGGCTCTCTTGAAGTGGCGTGTCTGTTGCGTTGTCATTTTTACTGGCTATTTCCTGGAGGAACTTGTCTAAATTCATGGTTGCCCGCTAAGACCTTGACTTCTTCTCTAATCGAAAATTAGACTTGCCACCTCTTTGCTTATTGTCAAAGACTATTGAAAAATGGCTCCACGTAGATTCCCTCTTTTCTTTTCCCAAAAGAATAGTCCCACCACTTCACGTCATTTTCACAAAATTTCCCATATCTTCTCATTCTTGAAACTTATTACTTTGCTAACAACTGACACAGACTACCCACTATTGGTGAAATGCTTCTGGTTTTGCTTATCAGCTCCAAGGGTTGGAGTGGCTTTTCCCAAATGTTTCTGCAAATTTACAATCTCAGTAAACGCAGCTTTAAATTTTATTGAAACGGTAACGATGATATCTGTTTCTGTAATTGGCATCATTTTGACATCGTTTTAGGTTCGAAACATTTTGAAACGCACCTACCAAACAAACGCTTCAGCTTAGGCATACATATGTTTTCAAAAGCGAAGAAAAAAAGGATTTTATGACATAAAACACAGTTGCTGAAATAACTCACCACTATGATGGTCACAGGATGCTACTAATTACTGGGTACATAGAGACCAATCTCTGCCGGTGCCAGGACTGACGGGTCAACGAACTAAAATCACAGTGCTTTTTAAATGCAGAGCATAACCCAAGAAAGCAAAGCATGTGCTAGGAGGTTGGAGGAAAGTGACGTTGTTAAATTTCACAACCAACCCAAAAGAAAAAAGGGGGAAAAAAAAAAAACGAAAGAAAGAAAACTAGTCAACGTTAGATATGGAAAAGATCTAGTAAAATAAGACGTTGGTTTTCTGGTCCTTGAAGTAACGGGGTTAGCGCGCGCGCCCGCGCACATATATTCAACCTTCTGCGTCTGCTGTTAATCACGGTCTTACACGCCATTCTATAATCTGTACTCGACATAGATTCCAACTCAGACTTTTTTTTTGTGTGCGGGGGCGTTTTTTTTTTTTTTTTGGGGGGAGGGGTATTCGTCGGCCCCCCTAATGCAAATAGAAGTGTAGAAATTCAGTGCGCCCCCTGCTCCAAAGTCATACTTGTAGCTAAACAGAAACCAAGCAACACAAGATTCTAGCTCTGGCATGAAGTAATAGTCATTAGTCTTCCTTCCTTTGGGAATACATACATATATACATCCATACATACATACATACAAGCACATGCGGTGATCATCCATCATGACATGTGATAAGGCGTGATAGAAACACAACTAGAAATAAAAGTGTGGGGCTGGTTTGCATTAAAGTCTCTTGTCCTCCTGTGACCAAAAATAAAAGTCGTTGCTCTTCCAGTCTTCCTTGTGTCACAATGTTGAGCTTACAAGAAAATTTAGAGAGAGAAAGAGAGAGACTGACCATTTGGGGTGACCCCAGTCAAGGCGTGCTCCAGCACCTTCGTCTGACTTCAAAGACTTATGCTTAACAACAACAATAGGGAAAATGTTCCTGCTTGTGATGAAATGGGAAAGACACACGGATGGTAACAAGAGTTGGGGTTTTTTCTCATGGGATTACTACCTATTTTTCTCATGCTCTTAAGCTTCTGTGGAGGTTTGATCACTGCCTTAGACTCTATTACATCATCTGTATTCGTCAAAGATTCAGAAACTGTAAGCTCAAACAACAGCGCGTTCAAACTCGGATTCTTCAGCCCCCAAAATACCACAGATCGTTATGTCGGAATCTGGCATGTCTTCAATTCCAAAGTCACATGGGTGGCTAACAAAAACCAACCGTTGCAGGATTCTTCTGGGGTCATTACTATATCTGAGGACAAAAATCTTGTACTATTGAATGGGACGAAAAGGATTTTCTGGTCATCAAATGTGTCAAACAAAGCATCGAGTTCCACTGCCCAACTTCTCAATTCTGGTAACCTTGTGCTGATAGACCAGACAGGCAAGACATTATGGGAGAGTTTCCAACATCCAGGTGACGCAGAATATTCAAATTTGGCAATTAGTGCCCACCAGAAAATTGGTTCATCTAGAAAAAACCCTTCTGAAAGAAAATTGGCTTACACCAGGAGAACAAACAAAGTAGGAGAGCAAAAGGTTCAAGAAAACTGTGATACTTATAATTACTGTGGGACATATGGGATCTGTGACTCCAGCAAATCACCAACCTGCAACTGTTTGAAAGGGTTTGAGCCGAGGAATATCGATGAATGGAATAATCAAAATTGGACGAGTGGGTGTGTGAGAAGGGCGTCACTACAGTGTGCAAGTGATGGAGGCAAAGATGATTGGTTTCTCGAGCTGCAGATGACAAATAATCCAAAAAATTCAACGCCATCATTTGTTTCTGAAGACACATGCAGAAATCAGTGCCTAAAAAATTGCAATTGTACAGCATATGCATATGTTTCTTCTTTTTCCTGCATGTACTGGACAGGAAACCTAACAGGCATAGTAAGATTGTCCAGTGGAGGAATTAATCTTTACGTCCGTCAAGCCTATTCAGAACACGGTAGGTACATGCTGAGTCAATTATTTGATATTATGATGTTTCTAAGTGAGTTTATAATGCTACCAATACAGGTAGGAAGAAAAAGGACTTCAAAGTAGTTATCACAGTAACAGTGACAGTAGGAGTGATTATCATTGCCATCAGTGCTTATATCTTAAAGATGTGTACTGCTAAATATTCTGGTACGTTTCCCATATACCTGTTTATTTCAATAATAATCATGTTCTCTTCATTGATTTGTTGCTTTGGTAAACTAGCATGTGCTTTCCGTGCGATGCGCAGGGAGCTTATAAATATGAAATTATTTCATCTTAATTCTAGTTAAGAAAATAATCCCCACCTTCCACAGCATATCAACAATGCATTATTACATGCTTTTTAGGTGATACATTAATATTTCATGATGCATGCAAAATCCTAAATCTTTCCTTGAAATATTTGCTACACGTATATTGGTGTGCGTAATCATTTTTCACTCAAGATCACTAAATCACCTGAACTTGCGCTTCATTGCATCCAGAAATGATTTGAATAATAGAAATCATTTGTAACAATTCTTTGCCATGTTTTTTTTTTAATACTAGAAATCTATTTTCTTTGTCATCAAATGAAGGAAAAGATATTATAGTCAATTACTTTCATGATTTCTTGTATTGATTTACTTTGGGATATTTCGGATATATGGTTGTATTCAGCAAGAAAAAAGGAAAGAAATGCAAAGTTATTGCTGAAAAAGGAAGAAAACCCGCTAGGAGACCTGAAAATTGCAAAACTTGAGAAGCTACCACTGTTTGATTTTAGAATCCTCGCAACTGCAACCAACAACTTCAGAATTGCTAATAAGCTTGGAAGGGGTGGTTTTGGTCTGGTATACAAGGTAACTAAATCTTGTGAAATGAATCTCCTTTCGGATAATTTCTATGACCTACTCTGTTTCCTTTAATATATACATACACACACATACACATAATTATGTATTTCACTAGGGAGAATTGCAAGATGGACAGGAAATAGCAGTGAAAAGACTCTCAAGAACTTCTAAACAAGGGCTGGAAGAGTTCATGAATGAAGTGGTTGTGATTTCAAAGCTACAACATCGTAATCTTGTAAGACTTTTAGGATGCTGTATTGAAGGAGAGGAAAAAATGTTGGTATATGAGTACATGCCTAACAAGAGTTTGGATGCTTTTATATATGGTAAGCCCACCTCCTCTGTTTCATTATTTATGTCCATAGAAGCCCTGCAGCTGCAGTATTGTTATCTCTATTATTAGATCGAAATCATTCTTATAAAATTAAGTCTCACGTCAGTCCTTTTGCTCTCAAGGTAACATGGTTTCATAGAAACCATGAAAGGGCTTAGTTCCCTTTTTTTTTTTTTTTAATCAAAACAAATCTTGTGCTTGGAATAAAATTGAATTTTTCTTATTGTTCAACAGAAAGTAACCTCTCTTTTTTTGTTTATGTAGATCCTGTTAAAAAGAAGGCTTTAGATTGGAAAAACCGCTTGAACATTATCAAAGGAATTGCTCGTGGATTACTTTATCTCCATAGAGATTCTAGACTAAAAATTATACATAGAGACCTAAAGCCAAGTAATATCTTACTAGATGCACAACTCAATCCTAAAATATCAGACTTCGGTTTGGCAAGAATCTTTGAATGCAGTGAAGATGAAGGCAATACTCGAAGGGTTGTTGGAACATAGTAAGTTTTCATTCTCTATATGTAATGTTAACATATCTATACATAATGTTAACATATCACCACTAGATTCATGAGTTGAACTTTACCACTATGATTTAATACAGTGGTTATATGTCACCCGAATATGCAATGGAAGGACTATTTTCAGAAAAATCAGATGTCTTTAGCTTTGGAGTTTTGCTATTTGAGATCATCAGTGGTAGGAAAAATACAAGCATTTGCGATCATGAACATTCATTGAACCTCTTGGAACTTGTAAGCCTCTCCACATTGATGAAGGCATAATTTTGATTATTAACATAAGTCTATAAATTAGATAATTTATGCTGTTATAAACTCTTGCATTTCATTTCAGGCATGGAAATTGTGGAATGAAGAAAATATCGAATCTCTCATAGATTCAGAAATATCTGATCCAGACTATGTCAATGACATTGTGAGATGCATACACATAGGGTTTTTATGTGTTCAAGAACATGCAAGAGATAGGCCATCTATGGGCACTGTAAATTCAATGCTTAACAATCACATTGTTAATCTTCCGCCATCATGTCAGCCTGCTTACATACAGAGGAGGGTTGTGACAAATGCAGAGTCATCTCAACAGAGCAATAGATCATGCTCTGTCAATAGCGTCACTCTCACAAACATGCAAGGGAGATAACAGGGAAGACGACGGTAACATGGCCAAAATAACTATCCTTTACATACTTACAAGTATTTCAGCTATATATACAAAATCATGCCCTTGTCATGTTGAATCTAAGGTGCTACATTCATTTGTAAGAAAAGGAACACAAGTGTGAAGCAGTGAATCTAGTTAGAAACTGTTGGGTGAATTTCAAAATCATTTTGTTTGTTTTGTTGTTCAATGTACCTTATTTCTGTAGTCGTATGTTCTAGTAATCAGGGGTGCTAGTAATTAAAAAGAAAACTTAGGTGAAAGCAAAGCGAAAAATTTTGCAAAATCACAAAAGTTTAGCTAAAATTATGATCTTCTCTATTTTGAAATTCAACACTAACCTTTCATGAGTTTTGCTAAAAACTAAATACCTCCATTCTTTTTTCAAGACATGCATACTTCCATAAATCAGAGAATTAATGGCGTAGGCAATCATCGAGTTTCATTAAAATTACAAAAACATTTTTCTGCCTAATTTCCAGGATTTGACTGGTATAGCTCATGCAAATGCTAAAAGATTACTGAAAATTAGATTTTTTCCCTGCTATTCTCTCTAGATAAGAAAGAGATAAAGTGACTATTAGATTATGAATATCGTATCATGCTATTTTAAGGAACATTTCTGATACCACAATGCAGCAACTTGTAAGCCGTAAAATAATTGCTTTGTTCAAATTGTCATGCTGCAAAATTGGAACGCAAGCGGCAACAATTATAAGATGATTAGGAAACGCACAAGCCAGTGAGAATTCAGAATTGGATATAATTATATTATAATCTTTGTATTTTCATACTCTACAACAGTACAAGTGGGGCAATATATACAAGAAGAAAGAAGCAACAAATCAGAATTTAAAACACTATATAAATGACCAAATATGTTTTCCTACAAACGCTCTACCTCAAAGACCAAGAAAGAAATTAAAAGAGGACCCTGTTTACCATGGATCCCCATAGAACAGGGATTGCGACACCAAAGTCAAGCAACAAATCACCAGATTACCTTCCCGTATCGGCACCTAAAATGGCGACAGAAATTGACAATCAACAAAGAAGCAATGCTGGAGCTGCTCCCCACCTTTCGCAACCACGTTTCCCTGCGCTTCCCCTTTTCGGCTTGTCTCCTGGAGCGGGATGAGGGGAGGGGTTAAGAAACAGTAAAGATCACTGTTTTGGACTTGTTAAACCCAATAATTCTAATTATGAAAATTTTGATGGAAAGATAGGAAAATCAACAACCAATTCTTTGGTTCTTATTATTTGTCCACGTGGTTCTCATATATTAAAAAAATATTAAATAGATGAAATCTTTAATTTTTGTTCTTATTGAAGAGAGCATCAATTGCTACTAGTATTTTTTTTTTACTCATTTTTCCTTTTTTTATCTTTATTATAATTAATAAGGATAAAATTAAAAATAAAATATTAAAAAGATACAAATATAAGCGACAAATAAAATGGACCAAAATTTCTTCCTAGTATTTAATGTCCAAAATAAAAAGAAAAACGTAAATTAATTCTAAAAAGTTGTAAATTATGAATCAGATTAGATTACTCAAATCACAAATAATTGGGAAGGTGGTTGGCTCCATTAAAGCAGATTTAATGTAGATTCACAGCCACTGGTAATGTGATTATGCCCAAGAAGCAAATTAGGGGGGGTGGGGGGGAAGAAGTGCTTGTCGTTAATGTTGGCTTAAAAAACTTTAAAAAAAAAAAAAGAAGTTGTGGGTATTAAGTCCATATATCTGATAACAACAAAAAATAAGAAAAGATTTATTTTTAGTGATATAACATAGCATATCTGAGTTAAATTATAACGAGAAATTCAAGTCCAAAATATGTGTCATAATGTGTTTTCGAAACAGCTTGCTTCAACTAAAAGTTAATAAACGTCTATGGATGCTAAAATTAACTCTCATGTTTATTACAGCAAATAATCCAAGTCATTAACTTGAGCTATATTTTTTAAAGTTTATTATAGAAGGTAACCTACAATGATCTCCTTATACCTATTGAGCCACATGCATCAGCTATAATAATATTTAACAAATGCATATTTTGTTTTTTATATACTATCTGATTAATAATATATGCAAAAATTATTGTAACCACCACAAAACAATATATGCTCATCATAATTATCATTAGACCTTTGTGAAATTCTTTATTTTCACACAAACATTTATATATCACATAATAACTATGTTTTATGTGTTTGGGTTATAGGTCCAGAATTTTCATGTCACACCTTATTTTTATACTTCATTTTATGCCAATTGGAACCATTTGAAATCATTTATCATGATGGCCTTAAGTTGTAAAACTTCAAATTTTAAATTTCTTGAAATTTGGGTTATTATTCATTATAGCCTTTACAAAGGCCAAATTTCAAAAATTTATAACTAATTCTAAAAAAATTGAAATGAAATGATTCCAAGTTCTATGTAAAGCCTTTGACATGCTCTTCAAAGAAAAAAAAAATACTCATTGGTATCTAAGACTCATGCATCAATCCTAGATTTCGTTCAAAATAGTATTGTTTATTAGTAAATTTTTAATTTTTCAGGATTTATATCCAACTTTGGAAAGGCATAATTTTTTGTACAAAACTCTAAATTTAGTGAATTACCACTTGTTTTAAAACTAAAAATAAGATCTATAAACATGCCAAATTTCATATCCAGATTCATCTTCAAAATCACGTTGGTCAAACTTGACCTTTAAGAAGTCAACTTTTATCCCTTAAGTTACTATTCTTGATTTTTCCTTTCCTTTTCTATTCACACTATTAATCTACTCATAATTCAATGCTAAAACAGAATCTTTGATCAACCATTCACATACATATTGTCTTTAGTTATTAATGCAAATATTTAACATAATTCATGATAATCTATAGTAATTACAAACATAGCTCAAAGAGGCACATAAATCAATTTTCTCCCAAAATGACTTCCTTTCCTTTGTCCTTGCTTGGTCCAACTCCTAAGAGGTAAATTTTGAACATCAAAGAGTGAGATTTCATGAAAATCTTAATAGCAAAGAACAATAATCATCATACAATCCATGCTATGTAAAAAAGTGACATGTATGCATAAAACCAATATCATTATGTATCATTTCAAGTGTATATCATTTACCATGGAAAGAGAGCAATGAATCAAGCCATTAAGCCATTCCTCATACATATTACCAAGGCACATTCAACATATAACCCCATGCATAATCACATAAATTGCTCAATTACGTCATGACAATATAAATTACATAACATATAATCAAATTATGAGTTCAATGCTGTCTCTTGATTGATGAACCAATTTGGCATCTTTGGGAAAATTGGATTCCTTTTTTATTTCTTGCAATGTGTCTATCAATCCAAGTATAAACACATTCTAAATTGCCAACAATTCAGGCATAAACACAATTGCTTGGTTATAAGCTCAATTAAACTTCTTTTTCTTTAATTTTTGACCTAATCAAACGTTCTTTGTTCCAACCAATTTTTTGGCTCATTCCTATACAATTTTTCATGTAGAATCCAAATATTGATTCATACTTATCAAAATCACACTCTTTCCCTTTCATTCTCTCTTGGCTGAATAGGAGGTATTGTTTTCCAAATATTTCATTTTTTATTGCAATGATTTTAAACATTTTTTCTTAGTGTTCCTTACACAAAAACATATTTTAAACTCATTAGAATTATCAAATTATAGCAAAACAAACTCCTACCCCAAGAACACATGTTGGCCGAAATGTCTCCTTAATAATGCTAACTTGGTTTTCTTTCAAAAATCAATCCAAACACCACTTAAACATAATGATTCTAACTCATTCTTAAGGCTTCTATCCTTCCCTAACATAAACTCATGTAAACCGAAAATGGGCAGCAATTTCCTCTTAGAAAACACCTCAAACTTTTAACCAAAACAAGCTTTGATCTTAACCATAATAAAGCTAAACATAACTTGATGAATTCTTGACTAAAGCTTGGTGATTTCTCTTTCAAATGCACTTACTAATATTAGTTTCCAAAGTCTAAGAAGACACTTGCAAAGCACCTCCCTCTTTTGTCAAATTTTTGCCTATTTTAGTATATTTAGGGGGTATTTATAGAATAAGAAATCTGCCTTTCTCCTCTCATTTTAGGCATGTGAAGCTGCCACCTAAGGGGACACTTGGCTGCCATCACATGCTCAAAATTTTCAGAACATGCCATGTGTAAAATTCCTAGAATATTCCCTTGATTTTTATATAAAAATTAGGCTCAAATCCAAATTAATTATTGGGCCAGGCTTTAGTACAAATTTAGGGCCTTTCTTGGGTCAATGTGGGGCCCAATTTTAATCTAGAAAGTCTTAAGAATTTAGCTCAACAATAAAATATTAATTCTAAACAATATTGATGTTTATCAGTTATTATTCACTTGTAACATTTCATAATTTTTCTAGACTTCCAAAACTGTATTTTTCTCCATAAAAAATCCTCTTTTAATATAAGAATGCAATCTAAAAAGTTCTAGAATTTTTCTTCTCCTTTAACTATTTATTTTGATTTTTTTCTAAATATGGCTCTATCGATAAGACTTTTGGAAATAAATTTCCTAAAATACTTTCTTGTACTTTCAAGACCTGAAACTAATTTTATAAATTCTAATAAATATTTAGATGATTATTTCATATTTTTTGGAAATTATTGGGGCCTCTAAATAATTATAATAATTATTTTTACCCTCTTTTTACTTTTTTTAAAACAATCTCTTTTTTCAGGAAATTCCGTAATAATATATTTTCACACCATTTTCATCTTTAAGGCTTCCATTGAGGTTCCAAAACCTCTAATTCACTCTTTTTCCATTTTCCAAAAATTTTCTGGATTTTTTTTTCAAATTTTTCTATTTTACCCTTTCTAGACTAATAATTCTAAAAATATCGGTCCGGACCCTATGGGGATTTCACGTTAAAAGTTATTTTGTCCTTCCATCTACTTTTTATATTGGCCATAACAAGATTTTTAACTCACAGCACTAGGATAAAGTTTCAAGATGTGACATTTCACATATTAAAAGATTATAATCAATATTTATATTGCATCCTTTTCCTTATACTTTTTCTTGTTGGCCAATTTTTTGTCAAATTTGTATGAAAGATCTATGTATAAGGTTGTCTTTTATCATATGATAAT